TTTTAAAGATGACCGGTAAGGGGATCTTAACCCTTGACTTGGTGTTGTCAGCACCACGCTCAGCCAGTGAGTGAACCGGCCATCCCTATATGGGATCCGAACCCGGGACCTTGGTGTTATCAGCACCGCACTCTACCGAGTGAGCCACGGGCCGGCCCACGTTTGTGTTCTTTATAGCATTTATGACAACATTATTTGTTGACTTGTTTCTGTTATCTTTTCCATTAGAATGTAAGCCCCATGAAGGTGGGGCCATTGTATCACCAGCAGCTAACTTACTCAATGCCTGGCAAATAGTCATTACTCAAATAAATTTTATGGAATGAAGGAGTGATACTCAGTATAGCTACTCTAAAGGCTTCATGTGGTGGTGGTTAGATCTGAGTTATGAAACAGAGGATATTAACATGAACCCTACCCGCATGCTCTCCTCCCCGCCTCATCCCCAGTGGGGTTTAAAGGGACCTAACAGTGTTGTTTCTTGATCTGGTGCTGGTTATATGGTATGTTCGATTTGTGAAAATTCATTGAGCTGTAGCTTTTTATTTGTACTTTTCTCTGTGTATATAGTGCTTCAATAATCTTTTTTAAAGTTAACAACAAAAAAACACCACCACGCTTATAGGGCTTCCTTGGGGGTAGAACAAGAAAATGTATGTGAAGCATTTACAAAATGCCAAACACAAAGTGTATGTTCAATAAATACGTAAAGGGCTGCTCTTGTCATCTTTATCTAGAAGGCTATAACTAATGTCATCAACCAACTAATTATACTGTTGTCATCTTTCCAAAAGTAAATGTCTCCCTTAAATGTATATACCAGGAAAATAAAATCCTAACACTGAACAAAGCAAATAGAGCAAAAACATTGGTACCTGAAATGAGTAACTTTCTCAGTATATCTGTATTGTTTTCCTTTAATGTTGGTATTTGCTAGATCTCTCTGATTAACTTGAATAATTTAAAGATAGTTAAGTTGTCAGATTCTTAAATTAGATAGAATATGAGCTTCTTGAGGGCAGAGAGTATGACTTTTCATTTTTGTGTTCTCAGTGTCGAGCACAGCTCTTGGTATTTAATAAATGTTACTGAATGAAAGGATACAAATCAACTTTACCAAAAAAAATAATAAACACATGATCATTAGTACCAGCTCCTCCTGTCCTTTTACTCTCTTCTAGTATCTATTATATTGGCTTTGGCTTTTCTCAACATGTGTTTACTTTATGCATCTTTTTCTACAAATTGACATAGTATATACAAACTTATTTCAATGGTTCTGTAATCTGTAGTCACATCCTAGTTTGCTTAGCTTTTCTCCAGGTGTTAGGCATTCTGGCATCCACTCTTGTTAGCTGTATTGCTATAAACATCTTTATTAGTCACTTTCTGCCTTCTGAATTACATCCTTGGGCTATATTCCCAAATGAATCAAAGAGCATAGATAGTTCAATAAATCCACTCACTTAGATGATTACCTAAATTTTAACTTTATCCATGACACATTATAAATGATGATAGCTTAAGAATTAAACAGTTTTGTGATTTCTAGTGATCAAGTCATGATTGACTTTATTCTAACCTCATCCCAGGGTATATGAATGTAACAAACGCTGCAAATGTGACCCAAACATGTGCACAAATCGGTTGGTGCAGCATGGACTACAGGTTCGGCTACAGCTATTCAAGACACAGAACAAGGGCTGGGGTATCCGGTGCTTGGATGACATTGCCAAAGGCTCTTTTGTTTGTATTTATGCAGGTTGGTGATGAAATATAAGGGTTGCTTCCTGGGGTTGGGACATGGTGGGGAATTCAACCACAGACAAGTTAAACATATTAAGTGCTTGGCATGTGAACTGGGAGTAAGAGGAGGCAAGGGGGTTCTTCTGTAAAGAACATGATGAGTGATGTACCTATCTAGGTGGACCAGAGAGGGACAGAAGTGCTTCATAAAGACAAGAATGAAAAGGGATGAAATTTTGGATATGGTGATGTTTCAGAGAACAGACATGATTGTGGAGTCCAGTTTATTGTTTTCCCCCACATCACTCCACCCAGATATCTTTTAGCATAGCTGAGAACTCTCTTTCAATAAACAAAGTAAAGAGAAAGAAATGGGAAGACAGAAAAAGCAAGATTAAAAACTACAGTAAGCTTCCCCATACTCTCATAGTTAAGACACAAAGGAAGTATCACCAGAGAGAGAGAAATGAGAGACCTTAATAACTGAGGCATTTTGACTCTGTATGCTGGTGGACTGGGTATTGGTGGAATGATTCTACAAGATCCCCATAACCCTAGAAGGCCTTTAATTCTTTTCATTCTCAGGCAAAATCCTGACAGATGATTTTGCAGACAAGGAGGGCTTGGAAATGGGTGATGAATACTTTGCAAATCTGGACCATATCGAGAGTGTGGAGAATTTCAAGGAAGGATATGAGAGTGATGCCCCCTGTTCCTCTGACAGCAGTGGTGTAGATTTGAAGGACCAGGAGGATGGTAACAGTGGTACAGAGGACCCTGAAGAGTCCAATGATGATAGCTCGGATGATAACTTCTGTAAGGATGAGGACTTCAGCACCAGCTCAGTGTGGCGCAGCTATGCTACCCGGAGGCAAACCCGGGGCCAGAAGGAGAATGGAGTGTCTGAGACAGCTTCCAAGGATTCCCGCCCTCCAGACCTCGGGCCCCCACATATTCCTATCCTTCCCTCAATCCCTGTAGGTGGCTGTAATCCACCTTCCTCCGAAGAGACACCCAAGAACAAGGTGGCCTCATGGTTGAGCTGCAATAGTGTCAGTGAAGGTGGTTTTGCTGACTCTGATAGCCGTTCATCTTTCAAGACGAGTGAAGGTGGGGAGGGCCGGGCTGGGGGAGGCCGAGGGGAAGCTGAGAAGGCCTCCACCTCAGGTCTGGGCCTCAAGGATGAGGGAGACATCAAGCAGGCAAAGAAAGAGGTGAGCAGTGGCTTTTAACTTTGGTACAGTAAACTTAATGCAGTCTCACCATGAATCTGTTTAAAGAGCCAAATTATTATAAAATCCACTTTCTTTGGGGGAGGGGAGTATCTGATCATTCCAAACTGAAGGATTTATAAGTGATTTTTTAAAATTAAATGCTGTTTTATACATTATTGCTTCTTTCTACTAAAGGAGAGAAACAAGAATTGATTTTAAATATATCTTTGATGATGTTGAAACTTTCCACATTACAGGTGGTGAAACTGTCCCTGGTCTGTGTAAGACTCTGCTCACGGTGTTTTCCATGAGCTTTATGCCCCATCATTGGGAATGGTTAAAGGCTCCTGCCAGCGGGGTTTAGTGATAAGAATATGATTGCTGCTGTCAAGTTGTAGAGTGGTTTCCCCACACCCACCCCACTTTAGATGGTGTACCTCTCACTAGCTAATGTTATCTATGGAGGTCATTTAAAATAGTCTAATTATTGAGTTTGTTACCTTTGACTATGAAAGCATTTAACCCGTTACGTGTTCTTTTCCAGGATCCTGATGACCGAAACAAGGTATCAGTGTAAGTACCATATTTTCAACCTGTTTCCAAATCTGCCTTCTCTCAAGCCTATGAATTCCTCCAGATGCCTGAGAAACAGCCAATAATAGGACTCCTCTTATTCCCTCCCTCCCATCAGAGTTACTGAAAGCTCTCGAAATTATGGCTACAATCCTTCCCCTGTGAAACCTGAAGGACTTCGCCGCCCACCTAGTAAGACTAGTATGCACCAGAGCCGACGACTCTTGGCCTCTGCTCAGTCTAACCCTGATGTAAGTGACCTTTTCAAGCTCTACTTTTCCCAGGCTTCTGGTTTTTGTTTTTGTTTGTAAAGATGACCGGTAAGGGGATCTTTTTTTTTTTTTTTTAAACCGGTAAGGGGATCTCAACCCTTGGCTTGGTGTTGTCAGCACCACGCTCAGCCAGTGAGCAAACCGGCCATCCCTATATAGGATCCGAACCCATGTCCTTGGTGTTATCAGAACCACACTCTTCCCGACTGAGCCACGGGCCAGCCCTCCAGGCTTCTGTTTTATTCAGAGTCTATGTAAAGGAACATGGCGCATTCCCACCTCAAGTCCATCACTATAGTTACCATTAGGTCTTTTCTTGCTTCTTTGGCCTTGACTTCCTGCCTCATTATTTTTATCCAGAATCTGATCTTCTTCTTGCTACAGTCTCAGAGAAAGAGCTTTATTAATTCTTTCCTGCCTGCCAAACCATAAGTAAGAGTAAGGACTTGAAGAGGCCTTTTCCATTTACTCTTCCTTCTCACCCTTTTGCTTTCCCAGGATGTCCTGACACTGTCCAGCAGCACAGAAAGTGAGGGGGAAAGTGGGACCAGTCGAAAGCCCACTGCTGGTCAGACTTCAGCCACAGCAGTTGACAGCGATGATATCCAGACCATCTCCTCTGGCTCTGAAGGGGATGACTTTGAGGACAAGAAGAACATGTCTGGTAGTCTGGAAAATTTTCGGGAGTGGTAGGAAGAAACAGTAGGAAAGTTGGATAGAGCATTTTTAAGGAAGCTACAGAAGTAGCGGGAAAAATTCAGATCCTAAGAGTTGAAACATCTCTGGAAAAGCTCCCTGACTCAAAGCTAAACTATTGTTTGGCATGTCCCTTTCTTCTTGTCTTTACAGTTCCTTACTCTTTTCTCTTAGCTCCTTTGTCCGGATCTAATCCTGCTTGAAAAAAACTGCCACCTTAGGATCCTCGCCTGAGTCCCAGCTTATTAGTATTCCTGAACTGCAGTTGGGGGGGATAAAAATGGGGATAGAATGTCCAGTCATGAATTGGGATGGGTACTGACCCTATTCTCCTTTCTGTCCAGGTCCAATGAAACGCCAAGTGGCAGTAAAGTCCACCCGTGGCTTTGCTCTTAAATCAACCCATGGGATTGCCATTAAATCAACCAATATGGCCTCCGTGGACAAAGGGGAGAGCCTACCTGTTCGTAAGAACACACGCCAATTCTACGATGGTGAGGAGTCTTGTTACATCATCGACGCCAAGCTTGAAGGCAACCTGGGCCGCTACCTCAATGTGAGACCCTTTCCCCTACCCCTCTAGATGCTGGTTTATCCCATGGTCCTCAGATTTCTAATTTTTTTTTTTTTTTTTAATAAGGATGACCGGTAAGGAGATCTCAACCCTTGGCTTGGTGTTGTCAACACTATGCTCAGCCAGCGAGCCAACTGGCCATCCCTATATAGGATCCGAACCCATGGCCTTGGTCTTATCAGCATTGCACTCTCCCGAGTGAGCCATGGGCCGGCCCCAGATTTCTGATTCTTTTAACATACTATATAAACCCACCTTTCATTATAAATTCTTGATCTTGAACGATCTTAAAGAGGTAACTTTCTTTCAAAATATCTGCTATAGGGCCGGCCTGTGGCTCACTCAGAAGAGTGTGGTGCTGATAACACACCAAGGCCATGGGTTTGGATCCTGTATAGGGATGGCGATTTGGCTCACTGGCTGAGTGTGGTGCTGACAACACCAAGCCAAGGGTTAAGATCCCCGTACTGGTTATCTTTTTAAAAAAAAATTATCTCTGCTATAATTAGGTCAGATGGCAGCATTTTTCTTCCCACTGTCACTTACCTCACAAAAACAAATTCTCTTTTCCTAGTTCTTATTTGATCCTGTCTTTAAACCTACAGCATAGTTGCAGCCCCAATCTGTTTGTCCAGAATGTCTTCGTGGATACCCATGATCTTCGCTTCCCTTGGGTGGCCTTCTTTGCCAGCAAGTAAGTAAGAGGGACTCAGGACAGGGGATGATTGGGGAGGGACAAGGACCATTGAAATTCTAAGGGCCATTCATCCATCTGTGATCCAGCTTCACCAACACTATAACTCCAAGTGCCTGGGTTATCTGCTGTCTTCACCACTCCCTGTCCTTGTCTTCTTCTTCAGGAGAATCCGGGCTGGGACAGAACTTACTTGGGACTACAACTATGAGGTGGGCAGTGTGGAAGGCAAGGAGCTGCTCTGCTGCTGTGGGGCCATCGAATGCAGAGGGCGTCTTCTTTAGAGGACAGTCTTCTTCCCAACCTGCAGAACTGTCCTTTCCTTAAGAACTGTGTCTTCCCGATTGTTGAAATCTAACCCCAAATCTCTGGTCCAGCTCCTTCCCCCAGCTCCTAGTAGATAGACATGGGGGTTCTGGATCGGTAGATCTCTTCCAATGTGGTGCTAGCAGGCAGGATCCTTTTTCCACCTCCTAAGGTGCTAGGGGGTGGGGAGAGATTACCACTCTAACCTAGGCCTGACATACCTTCCAGCCAATGTTTGTTCAAGTGTTTATGCTTCTGACAGATTTTATTCCCGGAATGGGGGCTGTGTATCTACTGTCCCTGTTTTGTATTGTTTCTTGAAAGTCTAACAAGATGGTAAAACCAAGATTGTGATTTGATTTCTCTCCCTCAGTCCCACACTCCCAGTTCTGGATCTTTCAATGAGAGATCTATTCCCCCATCCTCCCCAGTAGGCATCTGTTGTTAATCTTGTTACTTCTCTACCTTTGCTTTTTATTTCCGATGTGAAATTTTTAAAAGATGTTACATAATTGTAAGGCATAAGAAAGACTGTCTTAGTTTATTTAGTTGATTCCCCTTCTCAATTCCTAATAGTCTGACACTTTTGCCATGTTTTATTTAATCTTTAATGTATTTTAATTAAAAAAAAAACCATTAACAGTACATTTTGGTCTGAAATGGTCCCTCTGCTGAAATGCCAGGTGCTAGCTATAATTCTGGCTTTAAAACCAAAACCCCAAAAGTTTAATAAATAAAAATTAGAACTAGTTGCCATTCTACTCCAAACCAGCTATCCTAACTGAAGAGAAGGGGAAGAGGCCAGAGAAGGAGGCAGTAGGATCTTGGACGTGTGGCTACAGGGACGGCCAGCAGAGAAGTAACACAAAGACCATCTGAGCAGCCCCCACTTTTTGGCAGAGGTAGGGTAAGGGTCATGTGCACCCTCCTACACTCAATTCATTTGTGTCTTAGGAGGGAAAAAGTTAAAAGTCAGCTCGGCTTTGGTTTCTGGCCTGAGTTAGGGAGCTTAGAAAGGTGAGCCTTGGTCCAGCTTTGGCAGAATGAGGCCCACAGATGGGACAGTAAGGCACAACCCTGGTCAGGGAGTCGAAGGCAAACAGCTAGGACCAAATTCTGAAGAATAAGGAATGTGAATTGTAACCCCCACCCCCAGAGCTGAGGAAGGGTCTCAAAAGCAATAGAAAGGATACCTTGGAGGATAGAGAGGAAAATAAGACCATCCCCCCTCTAGCAAAGGTTATAACCAACCTCCCCTCTACCTGGGGATAGGCTGGTTAGAATTTGGTTTACAGGCAACTGGGTGACAAAGAAGCAAGGAGGGGAGGGCACAGAGACCAACTCTCCTCTCAGTTTCTCCTTTCTCCCCAGAGCTTAAAGTGAGCCTACAGGGAGAGGGTGGGGTAGTTCCTTGGCTTTATGCATTTATCTCGGAGGCAGCCAGACAATGGTTCAGTCATTCTTACGATGGTTGTTATTGAGGATGGGGTGGCCATTGGCTAGGGGCCGGCTCTTTGCTCCTCCCCCAGCGGTAGCTTCCTCCCCCTCCGAGCTCTCTGTTTCTTCCCGGTCACTGCGTTCATCTTCTACCAGCTGTGGAAAAGGGATAAGAAGGGTCATGTGATATCCTGTAACCCCTAAGGACTGCCTCTCCATGGTGGCTTGTTCCTGCTATACCCAGAACTGGCCCCACAGTAGTTTTTTAGAGGATTGTTGGCATGGCAGGGAGTTTGGGGAGTTCTAGAATTTAGAGCAGTTAAGGCCTACAAAATGGGGATAGAGCCTTCACCTTTCCAGTTATGAACTTGTGGGCCATGCGCAAAATGAGGTAAGCCCAGAAGATATGCAGCAGCTGTAGCACTCCCATCATGGAATTGAAGAAGTAATAGCCAAAGAAGGCAGGATAGAGCTCCAGTGGGTACACCAGGGTGCAATGCAGTATCCTGAGGTTTCAAGGGGAGAGACAGAATTGTAAACACAGACAAGGGGGTGTTAATAAGATGGAGGGTAGATAAATGAGAGGAAGAAAGGCAAGACTCTTGATTTTTTGTGAACCAGAGTACAGCCTGGCTGCCTACTCACCAGAAGGGCAGGATGACCAGTCGGGTGATGATGAAAACAATAGCGAAGACGATGAAGATGTTGTTGCAGGTGTTTTTCCATCCCGCATAGTTAAACATCTTGGCTGACTGCATAGATAGCCCCCCATCCATCATGGGCTCCTGACTCTCCCGCATACATTCATATGTACACCCCAGTCAGCAGCACCAGCTCTGTGCCCCCCTCCTTGGTCCCAGGAATATCACCCCCCACCCCCACCCAAAGACAAAGGGACCAAAGAACCTGCACTGGGGTCTCTAGGTTTAAGAAAGCCCAACCTCCAGCAGGTAGTCAGAAGAGTCATGTAGAGCCATGATGAGAGTCCCAGCTCGGATGTAATTGACAAACCAGGAGAAACTGATGAGGATGATGGTGGCCACGTGGTGGATGATCTGTTCCTTGAAATCCTGCAGAAAAGATGCAGGCCCTGGGGGACTTTCCTGTTCTCCCAGCCCCCACTATTCTTCCTCCCCGTCACCTTTAGTTCCCCATATCCCAACAGCTCCATGCAAAGTACTAAGAAGTCAAAGGAGAGGCTGTTCATCCCAGGGCCTCATTTTGGCTCTTAGGCTTAATTGTATGCCCCTTCACTCACCTTTCGCTTGACATCAGAGGCAATGCTGAAGAGCAGGGACCAGTAAAAGGAAAGTTCGATCATGTAGTACCAGTACTGGGAAGGGATGATGCTCTGGGAGAGTAGAGCGAGGTAAGGGACCCCAGAGCAACTAGCTCCAAGGATCTCACCTCTTCAAACCCAGCCATTCTAGCCCCTAAGGTCATTCTTAGTTCAATGACTCTAGTCCCTCTGCCATGTTCCAGAAACCATCTTTTCACAAAGGTGTGTATGTTTTAGTCTACCCCTATATGAGGAAGCAGGCCCCTTCTCATACCTGTATGGGATATCCCTCCCAAACTTTCTTCATGTCATAGAACCAGGGTTTCTGCAGAGAGATGGTGGGAGGTTAAAAGAGGGGGAACCTAAATTCTCTGGCCTCACCCGACCTTTGCCAGAGAAACTTCTCCCACCTCTCAGTAATCCCCACTCACATCTACAATGACAGCCATGCCAGCAATGAAGGCAATCAGGTAAAATGTGAATCTCCAGCTATAAGAAAAAGCAGAAAAGGCTAGGTGGGAGGATGGCATAGCCCTCCAACAGTCCCTGAATATCCCTAGATACCCTTTCA